GCGGGAGTGCTGCTGCACTCCCAGCGCCGCACTCTCCCCAGTGCGCCACGGGCTTGGCCCTGTAAGGAGTTTTGATTTGGTTTTTGTGCCAGTGAAATCCTCTAATGTTATTTTTGTGAGATAAGAAATTTGTCTTATAGATTGATGAATAATTTCTATATATTGGACACTTTTTATTGCATTTTTTACATAGTATTTCACCTAAATAATTTTTTCTGTTGTTCCTTAATAACTGAATGACGTCAGAAGTTCTGAATATTTGGTTGCTTTAGGTATAAAAAAGGACTTTATTACTGGAAAATTTATTTTTGTTTTCTTAGTGAAAAGTGGTATATTTCCTTGCGTAAGCATTTCCATATTATAGGGATGAAGATAGTGACCTTGAAGAAAGAGACAGTAAACAACCTAAGGAAACCTTGAAAAGAGTGACCTTTGCTTCAGTAGATGAGGAAACTGAAGATAAAGATGTTTTACATGTAAAGAGAGTTTCTAATGAAGTGAAATCCTCTTTTGAAAAAAAACAGGAAAAGGTAATTATTAGGAATTTAAGGAATTTTCTATATGCTTAACATGATTGGAACTCAAAGAATATTAACTAATCTACCATGTTTTTCTTGTTGGAAGTATTAACCATCCTTAAAAAAAAATTTTTTTTGCTGTCACTCTTTAAAGCATGCTGTATATAGATGCCATATGGAAAGTGTCTAATTTGCAAAAATTAGTGCCTACATTTCGCATCCTGTGGCTTTCACTTTGGGGCCCATGTGTAAAACCTTTGTTTCTTTTCTCTGTCCCTGGTGTCTTCATACCTTTCACACATTTTTCCTGATTAGCTGTCCTGAGAGCCTCTCCTTGTAACTGTTTCAGCTGGAGGATACTGCCTATCTTTTTAAGGTGCTCTGCAAATAATTTTTGTGAGTGAATTTTAATTAATCTCAAACACATCTTCTAGAGTTGACAAAAATTGTTTTCTTATGACATGATTTCAAACAAATGAAATGTCATTTCATTTTAATACATGTAATCTGACTCCAGTCATTTGGTTCTATCATTTATTCACCTTAAAATTATTTCATACTATTTGAATTGAAAAAGGCAGATAACGAAAGATACCAAGGATATCAAAAGAACAGAAAAGATTTATAAATAAGATAATCCAAGTTAAATTCATGATTGTCAGATTGCCCCTAGAAGAGAAAGTCTAAAGAAAAAAAAGCACCATAAAAGAAGGTAATAGTATCCTCCCACCTCACCCCTCCTACCCTCCCCCCAACAAAAAAGAAAGGAGGTTTGGTTTTACTGTGGAATTATATCAAACCTTCAAGAAATAGATGATTTTATGCTATTTAATCAATTCCCACATAAAGAGTAAAGTAAAACTTCCAACCTTTTTTCTTGTGAAGCTGTTATAACATAAAAACTGAAACCTGACAAAAATAGCATTTAAAAACACACACACACACACAATATCTCATTTATTTAATAGTGATGCAAAAATCCAAGATAGCATAATGAAAAAATAATGCCCCACAACCAAGTGGGCCTCATTCTCTTGATTCAGAGTTAGGAAATCAAATATAAGTTTTGGTTATAAGAGGTTAAGGAGAAAAACCATATGTCACCTCCATATATGTTAGAAAGACATTTGTTAAATATCCATTCCTGATTTTTTTCTTACTACTAGTGAAATACAAATGCATTTAAACAAGGTCAAGGGTTCAGATCCCTGCACTGGACAGACCCTCCCTCCCACCCCCCACAAAAAGAAGGAGGTACAAGTGCATCAAGCCAAAAGCTGCCATCATGCTTAGTGGTGAACTTGTAGAAGCATCCCTTTAAAATCAGGAATAAGACAAAATGTCCACTATTACAATCACAGTGTGATTTAACGTTCTTTTAGAAATGTTAGCCAGTGCACCTACAAAAGAAAAAGATGAGGTGAGGAAAGCTAAAATGTAAGCATTAATATTTGCAGAGGATATTAGAAAATCCAAATGGATAAACTGAAATGCTGTTAGGAAAAATAAGAGAATTCTTTAAGGTAGTTGAAAAAGCTGGCATTTTATACACTTAAAGTCATAATTGTTATTTTTTAGAAGTTAGAGATAATTAGGATTTGGGTGTGGAGTCAGAAGGGTCAGGCTTCATCAGACACTAATACTCTAATAAAAAAATTACTTAACTTTAGAATGCTGTAATAATTAAAATTGATAGTGGCTTGTGAATAGATACATCATCTGAATAGAATAGAGCCCAGAAATATATAACCAAATGCTTCGGGGGGACTTTAGTATATCATATATGCGGCATTTCAAATCAGTGGGGAAAAGAGATAATCTGCAGCTCCCCCCACCTCAGGCAACAGGAATAGGAAATCATTGGCATAATAAAAAGGTGACAAGAATGAAAAAGAATTATATTGAGAAATAATCCATTTCCTGCTTTTCCACTTATCAAAATATTATTTGCTTTTACACAAATGTAAGTCTAATTTTATTTCCTAAATGTATAATAACTCTTTTGTCTCTTTCTTAGATGAATGAAAAAATTGCATCTTTAGAAAAAGAGTTGTTGGACAAAAAGCCCTGGCAGCTTCAAGGGGAAGTGACTGCACAGAAGCGACCAGAGAATAGCCTTCTGGAGGAGACCCTGCACTTTGACCATGCCGTCAGGATGGGTATGTGCCTGCTGGGCGTCTGCAAGTGTTCATTGCTTCTGTGCTTTTTCTGAGGTTCCATTTCATAGAAAGATTTGGGGGGATGATGTTTCTTTTCCCACAACTTTTTATTTTAAAAACCTGCAAACATACAGGAAAGTTGAAAAAAACAGTACAATGAAATCTGTATGCCATTCAGCTGGATTTACCAATTGTTAACATTTTGCCTTATTTGCTTTCTCTCCCCAGTGAATGTGTGGGATTGTGTATGTGCCTCTTTTTTCCCTGAAGCATTTGAAACTAAGTTGCCAATATCGTGATCCTTCACTCCAAAGGACTTTTACATGTATCTCCTAAGAACTAGGACATTCACCTATATAAATAACCACAATGCCGTTAGTCCATCCAAGAAATTTAACATCAATACATTAATGATACCTAATGTATAGATTTCTTGTAGTGATCTGTGTACAAGGTTTCCATCTTGTCACTGTCCACTAATTAAATTGTGAACGCCAGCCTGGAACCCTGCTCATCTCATTGAATTCTTTCTTGTATCCATTAAGTCAAAGTGAGTTTCCATTTTATTTCAGTGGAAGAGAGAATGGAAAAGAGGGGAGAATCTCCAGGTGCATGGGATAAAAGTGTCAGCACTTATTACCATGTATGTTCTAGTTTTGTGGCTCTCAAACTTGAGGGAGTGTCAGAGGCTATTAAAATGAAGATGATCCCCTTCCCCACTTTCTGATTTAGGAGGTGTGGGGTTGGCCCAAGAATTTGCATTTCTAATAAGTTTCCATGTGTTGCTGATGCTGCAGGTCCAAGGACTGCAGTTTGAGAATCAGTGATCTAGTTAAATATCTACCTAATGAATACATGTTATATTTCCTTTAGCACCTGTGATCACAGAGGAAACCACCCTTCAACTAGAAGATATCATTAAACAGAGGATAAGAGATCAAGTCAGTAAGAACTAAATTTAACTTAATATAAATTTTACTGAAATTTTTAGAAATGATATTAGAGTATGTTGGGAGTAGGAATAATGCTGTCTTTATTTTCACTTAATAATGTTCTTCACTTCCAAGCCTTAACGTCTAGACTAAGGGTGTCTCCAGCTTCTGTTGTGTGAGGCACTGCTTTCCACTAGCATCCGGGAAGGACACTTGTCATGCCAGAGGAGAGAGGGATAGCTGGAAACTGTTGCCAGTGTCCTCCCTCTTATGTCTTGCTGACCTTTTGGGTGGTGTGGATGAAGCTGGTGGAGAGGAGTGGGGGTGGTGACTGGTGTCTGACTTGCTGTGATCACACCTTGGTTTTAGCACACTATCTGATGTGACAAATCGAGGATGTATCTTTTCAAATGTTAAAAACCTAGCAAAGAATTTTTGTTTAAGAATTGATCTGGGCCGGCCCGGTGGCGCACTGGATAAGTGCGCCGCTTGGGAAGCGCAGCGGCGCTCCCACCCGAGGGTTCGGATCCCACATACAGACCGGTTCCCGCTCACTGGCTGAGCGAGGCGCGGGGGCAACGCCGAGGGTTGCAATCCCGTTGCCGGTCCCCGGTCCGGTACGGGGGCAACACTGAGGGTTGCGATCCGTTGCCGGACACGGAAAAAGACAAAAGACAAAAAAAAAAAAAGAATTGATCTGATTTTGTAAGCTTACAGTAGAACTTAGGTATATGGCATGTATGGTAAAAGATGGCTTTATAACATGTAGAATGTTTGCCTACACTTCTGTGTCTAAAGTAGAAAGCTTTTGAAGGGTGGGTACCATATGCAGAGAACTCGAAGTTTGAAATGAAATAAGATAAACTCAAGGCTTGACTTTTAGACAAACCGTGATGGGGAAATGTGGAGTTAAAGTTGGTAACCATGAGAAAGTCTTATTTAAAACAAAAACAGAAATGAAGTTTGAAATGAAACAAGATAAACTCAAGGCTTGACTTTTAGACAAACCGTGACGGGGAAATGTGGAGTTAAAGTTGGTAACCATGAGAAAGTCTTATTTAAAACAAAAACAGAAAAAGATATTTGAGTTATGCCCTCTTTGCTTTTCATAATGCTTATTCTTTATTACTTGAATAGTCATTTCAGAGGTTGAAAATTACTTTTTGCTACAATATGATTACTGTGGAATAATAAATATTCCAGAGGAAGATTCTCAAGTAAGCCTAGAAATAAATGATAGATTTTTGTTAACTTACGTTCCACCTGCCCTTTATATTTCAGGCTTGGGATGATGTAGTACGTAAAGAAAAACCTAAAGAGGATGTGTATGAATATAAAAAGCGTATAACCTTAGACCATGAGAAGAGTAAATTGAGCCTGGCTGAAATTTATGAACAGGAATATATCAAACTCAACCAGGTAAGGAAGCCTCTAAGGCACAGCCATTGTTATCAAAGGAATAGAAGTAGAACCAGGCTTTTCGTGACTGGTGAAATCATGAAACAAATCTTGAGTGCTCAGTCACCTTGTTTAAATGTGAGACAGAGCATGCTAGGAATAGAGGGGATATAGTATCCCCTCTGAAAGTGAGGGGTTGGGGGAGTTTTGCTTTGCAATTAGACATTGGTCACCTGGTACTTTTACATATAGTTATTAACTTTCTAGCAATCTTTATGATAGTGCTACAATTTTAAAATAATTTCTCATTGGTATTTTGAAGTTACTGATATATGTTATAGGATTATCTATGACTTCATCTGAAGTTTAGGTCTATTTTTTTCTTGTACTTAAATTCTAAAAGAAATCTGTGGTTAAACAGCAGGACAAAGTCATATTCCTAAGAACAGTATGTTCTTGTATAATAATTGGATTATTCTTATTTGATTTATTGGGAATGTGATCAACATGTGCTTAGGGATGAGGTGGCATCTTTATTTCGCTAAAGCAATTTAAGATTCCTACCAGATTTCCTTAATTTATGCTACTCAGGCAGCAACAACAAACAATGCCCTGATGCCACTGTGAAGTTGAAGAATTGGAAAGACTTGAATGACCGGTGTGCTCACAGCGCTCACTGGCTGAGCGCGGTGTAGCCAGTCTCAAAAAGGACAAAAAAAAAAAAAAAGATTCTTCCTGGCCGCTTTGCAACACAAGGTGGTAGCTGGAGGAAGATGTGTACAGCTTTAGACAATGCTTATTGAACATCTCCTGGTTACTTTGAAGAGAGTCAGTAAAAACAGAAAGTATTTGGTATCTGTGAGAGTTAAAAATTAAATTAGGTATGTAATATAACAACTTGTGCCACCTGTGCAAATGTTAGTTTTATTTCTCTGTCAGTTTTTGAGTATGGACTTGGAGTTCTAGTAAATAATTAGCAAGGCTAATTCAAGACCCATTCCATGAGGAGGCCAAGTCTGGGGAAAATGATCACTGTTTCCCATAGCTCACTGTCCATTCTAGTGGTAACAAGTGAGATAGTGGTAGACAGCACACAAGAGAGCCTTTAACTCACAGTAGTGTCTGTGATGTGGATCAGGAAAATGCTAAACAGTTGTCCCTGAGTATATGTGGGGGATTGGTTCCAGGACCGCTCGCATATGCCAATACCTGCAGTCAGCTTTACGGAACCCATGTGTGTAAAAGGTCAGCCCTCCATATACGCAAGTTCCACATTCCAAGAACACTTGTGTTTTTGAAAGAAAAATCCAAATAGTAGTGGGCCCGTGCAGTTCAAACCCATGTTGTTCATTTGTCAGCTGTATGTCGAATATTTGATTTCACAGATATTGTTACCTATGATGAGGTGAAAGGGCATGTTGGGGATTTTAAAAATGTGAGTAAAGTTAAAATGGTAAGAATTAATAGGGCTGGTCAGTTAGCTCACTCAGTAGAATGTGGTGCTGATAACACCAAGGGCAAAATTTCATATCCCCGTGCTGGCCAGTTGCAAAAAAAAAAAAAAAAAAAAAAAGTAATGCCTGGCCATGGTGGGAAGGTGGGTGCTGATGGGAGACAGTGGAAACAGACCTAGATGCATCTCTGGCATCAGGGGCACAGAGGCAGAGAGCCGCTCACTTCTAGTTCTGGTGGGTCTTCTTTCCCATAACTTAATAACTTAATAAACGAATAAACAAACAAAAAACTCTTAGCCTTTTAGAATAATCCTTTGGGACCAGAGGAAAAGAGAACAAAAATTTACCTTTTCTCCTGAGTAGAATTAAAATTATTGTCAGTTTTTCTAGTGTGATTTATCAGAATTAAAGGAAAAAAAAGTCTTTAAAATCCAAATGAATATTTGGATGATTTTGTGAAGTCTACATTAACACTTCAGTGCCTTCTTTTTTTTTTTTTTCAAATTTTATGTTATGTGAGATTCAGATTTTATGTTATGTGAGGTTTAGGGCAGTTTTACACAACCACTACCTACCTCTAGTTCCAAAACATGTTCTCACCCCCGCCCACTGCAGTAGCTGCCTGGTCCTTCCTCCCCCCAGCCCCTGCCAGCTGCTGATCTATGTTCTCCCTCTGTGGTTTAACTATTCTGGGTATTTCATATAAATGGAATCATACAATGTGTATCTTCTGTGTCTCTTCTTTCACTTAGCATAGTGTTTTGAAGATCGTGGCATGTGTCAGTACTTCACTTCTTTTTTATTGCTAAGTCCTATTCCATTGCACATACACACTCACGTACACCACAGTGTGTTTATTTGTCCATTGGTGGGCATTGAGCAGCGCCACCCTTTGGCTGTTGCACACAGTGCTGTGTACATGTATTTGTTTGAGTACTTGTTTTTAATTGTCTTGGGTGTATACATAGTGGAATTGCTGCATCATACGTAATTCTCTATTTACCTTTTTTTAAGGGGGAGTGGGAGTAGCTGGCTGGTATAGGGACCTGAACCCTTGACTTTGGTTTTACAAGGCCACGCTCTAACCAACTGAGCTAACCGGCTAGCCCTGTTTAGGTTTTTGAGGAACTGTCAAACTCATTGCCACCACCGCTGCACCATTTCACTTTCCCACCAGTGATGCATGGGGCTCCAGTTTCTCTACATGCTTGTCAACACTTGTTATCCCCACCCCCTCTCCCCCTTTTATTCCTAGCAGGAATAGCTTAGTTCTTGACAGAAGTAAATACCAAGGGTATTAAATTGTAAGTTATGGATGTTAGACTAATGGTTACTGTAGCTCCTCAAATGCACATCACACATCTTCTTTACCAGGTTCTTGCACCATTGTGGTACCTTTAATTTTGCCTTTGGGCTGGTTTTATTTTGTAGCCAAAGCCTTGGTGGTGAGAAATTGGGAGTACCCTCATGGGCCTTTAGTGTTTTGTCCTGTGATATATATTATGCTACTTAGTCTGACAGTGTTAAACTTTTTTTCTAAGCAAAAAACAGCGGAAGAAGAAAATCCAGAGCATGTAGAAATTCAGAAAATGATGGATTCCCTCTTCTTAAAATTAGATGCCCTCTCAAACTTTCACTTCATCCCTAAACCGGTAAGTATGTTAACAGTTTGCTGTGCAAATACGGGAGATAAGACTTTACCTTTGAGCTTTTGTGAGACTAGTTCTTTAGTTTCATGGCGCAAACCTGCAGTAATTCCCCATAAACTACAGACAGAGCCTTCATGGGGAAAGCTCACTTCTGGTCCCATGGTAATTCTGGCTCCCCACTTTTGGTCTAACCTAATCTCCAATGGGCCCCTTTCAGACCCTCAGCCTTAGCCACAGGGACTCTACCCCCTCAGTCTTCTGCTGCATTTCCATTGTGTGATGAAACACACGTTTGGAGACATGCCATGTCTATACCTGGCTTTTATTGAGTACCTGCTCCATGCCATATAGTCCTTTATGTACATTAGCTCTCAGTTGACAAAACATTAAGGCAGATACATACTACTACTTCCACTTTGCAGATGAGGAAACAGGCTTAGGAGGTAAGAGAATCAGAACTGGGCCCACGCTCTCCCCACTGCATGTTGCTCCCTTGGCCAGGCCCAGACCTCTCCAATGCTCTCTGTGTATCTGACTCTCACCCAGACTTAGCTCAGGACCTGCCTACACCTTAGAGCTTCGTCTCTTACTCACCACCTTCTGTGAACCCATGAAACATACTTGTTTATTTGGTACTTGCTCTCCTGTTGCCCTTTAGTTGTCTGTGTTGTAGTCTGAAATGAAATGTCATGAATGAAGGACTAGTCTAGGTGTCAGAAACCTGAGTCTCATTCTGCTAACTAGCTCCATGAGACTAACTCAGAAACCTGAGTCTCATTCTGCTAACTAGCTGCATGAAGGCAAATCACTTCACCCTTCATCTGTACAGACGAGGTAGACTCCGAGGTCTTTTTTGATTCAATTATGGTTAGATGATTTTTCCTATTCGAGTAATTTGTCTTCTGACATTTGTCTTCTGAATTTTTGTTTCTGTTTTTTTTTTTTTTTAATGAAGGTGTTATTTACATGAGAGTAAGTTTTTGATGGCAAGAACCATCTTTGGATTCCCAGAATGCCTAGTGTGGGCTATGTAAACAGATGAGGAGATAAGTGAAATTCTGAATCCCTCTTGGCCAGAATGTATTATTGTGAAAAAGTCTTAAGTCTTATTGATGTGAAGACATAGGCCCTTCCCTGGGTCTTACCAGGCCCTGTGGGATATGGCTCCTTCCCACCCCTCTGGTCTCCCTGGCTTGCTGCCTCTGAGCACGCTGGCCTTTTGTTTCCTTCATTGGGCTGAGTCCCTCCCTTTCTTGCACCTTCTTGCCGTGCTCTTCCCTTGGCCCAGTGGGCTACTCTTCCTTCTTTGCATGGCTGGTGTATCAGTCCGTTTCTGTTGCTTATAACAAATTACCTATAACTGGGTGATTTATAAAGAAAACAAAATTTATTGATTACAGTTTTGGAGGCTGGGAAGTCCAAAGTCTGGAGAACACAGCTAGTGAAGGTCTTGGTGGTGGCCACAGTGACCCACAGGTCTCACATGGCAGAAAGTGGCAAAGCAGAGAGAGACTAACCTCTCATGCTCTTCTTATAAAGCTCTCAGAACCACGCCCCTAATCATCAATATTCATCCATTCACTACTACATGGTCCTACAATCCAATTACCTCTTCAAGGGCCTACCTTTCAGTTACCATATAGGATTTCCCACCCTCCCAATAGTCACAGTGGGGTTAAGGTTTCTAATACATAAAACTTAGGGGACACAAGTCACGCTTCAGTGAGTTGAGCAGACATTCAGTCCACTATAGCTGTCTCCTCATCTCTCCGGTCTCAGGATGAGCAGACTGCCCCATGCCTCCGCCCCTGCATCTGTCACTCCTGGGCTCCTGTCCCTCGTATCTCCACAGCATGTTTGCAGTTCTCTGCTCTTCTTCAAGCTGGCACAAGATGTGTCTGCTTTCTCACCGTCCTGTCCTCACACTAGCTTGGAGCCTGACACAGGGAAGTCCTTAGATCCTTGCAATCTTGGGACTTGAAGGAGTATGTTTATGTCTACATGCCCCAACTTGAAAGCATGTCTTACATTTTTCCTCTTCAGAAATGTTGAATTGCTAGTATAGGTTCCCCTTGATGTTACTTTTCTTGTATTTAGGTCAATATTTCATATGCCATCTCTGTAGACTTTGTTTACCAATCATTAGCCATCATTTTTTGATGTTTTTGGACCGTCTCCATTTTCTTCATATTTCTCTTTAAATTGTAGAATGGAACACAGTGTTCCTAATAAACAATTGAACAGTGGTCCAGTGGAAGAAATAGTTTTTTTTCATACTCCGACGTTTTTCTCGTCCTGTTGTGTTTATGGCTTGTTTTTATTTGTGAAGTTTCACAGGGCAAGTATCTACATAGTTACCTGGAATATGGACAGGACTGTGATAAGAACAGTGAGTGGGCAGAGAAATCAGTATTATGCTTTGCAGTAGAGCCCGGCTGCCTGAAGCTCAGTCCTCCTCCTTCCCACGCTTCAGCCTTTACCCCACTCTGGCCGACAGAGGGGTTTGAAGCCATTCTCCTCTGCTCTCCCTGTCCCTCTCTCATAGAGATGTGAGAGGCAGATGTGAAGAACACTAGTTAAGTGTGTGATAAGTAATCACCATTGGCCTTTTATTTGCCATGATCAGTGTGAAACCGTTTTTAACTTCTGAATTTCTTGAATAGTTCTTTCAAGGATAGGAAAACAAACCAAACAAAAAGCAAATGACCCTTCAGTTAGCATTGCATTCTTTTTTTTTTTATAATTGATAGGTTTAACTTTTTTGATATTGTTTTAGTTTTTCAAAACAGTTCAATACCATTTCATATTTATATTTATAAAACAGTGTTTTCACTAGCTGGAAGATAACAGAATCTGTTCAGCAAGCGGTCTGTATTTTGACTCTTGTTTCCATGAGCATGATTCCTTGCATCTTTTTCCATATATTTCTCAGAGCTTCTTTTCCATAGCCAAAGGCAAGATAATGTTAACAGAAATTAATAAATTGTATTAAACAGTAGAGAGGATTGCTTGAGAATACCCGTATATGTGGCAGCTGGGAGTAGTTTAGTAACAGATGAAAGAACTGGTGTTTGAATATGGCAGAAGTGTCGCACAAAAGTGTAGAAATAAGTGCTGTAGGAAGAGTTTTGAGAGTGAAGATCCTAACATACCTGGGTCTCGTGAGAATCCATAGGCGGCTTCTGTGCCCCCTAGTTCTGCCATAATTCCAGGCAGCTTCAGACTTGGGCTGCCAACACACCTAACACTTAAATGGCCTCCACAAAGTGTTTTATATATTATACTCTAATAGGTTCACAATTCACTTATTTTATACTCTAATAGGTTCACAATTCACTTATTTTATGTTGGGGCCACTTCTGACTTCCCATTAAATAAGTTGTCTCTTTTCCAGCCTGTACCAGAGATTAAAGTGGTGTCAAATCTCCCAGCCATCACCATGGAGGACGTAGCCCCCGTGAGTGTTAGCGATGCAGCACTCCTGGCTCCGGAGGAAATCAAGGTAAGATGCTGGCATTGAAATGTTAAATATCTGTTCACAAGTTAGTTATTATAGCCAGATCTTGAATTCATGTCACTTTTCTTGAGTTTGTAGTTTTTATTCTAATGTATCTCAGCAGTTTCTGGATATAATCAAACTAATAATGTTAGAATATTCAAACACCAGTCTCCTATAATCAGGTATTATTATGAGGTTCGGGTTTAAGAATCATTATAAAAGCAGTTTTTAAATACTCACTATCATTTTCTTGTTGTAATCCAATCTGAATACTAGCAGTTACGTTAGATTTAAAATAAATTGCTTGGGCCATGCTGTGGGAACCCCAGCCAGGCCAGACCATGCCGCCCAGAGAGGCCTGAGAGCTGCTGGGCCCACAGGGCCCCAAGCCATCAGTGTTGGAACAGGCAGGTGCCATGCCATGGGAATCCCAGCTCAGGCCAGACTGCGCCACCCAGACAGGCCCAAGAGCCATCAGGTCCACTGGTCTCTGAGCCACCTGCACTGGAACAGACAGGCACCGTGCTGCAGGAATCCTGGCCCAGGCCAGTCTGCACTGCCTAGAGAGGCCTGAGAGTCACCCAGCCCACAGGGCCCTGAGCCAGCCGCACCAGAACAGGCAGGTACTGTGCCATGGTAACCCCAGCCAAGGCTAGTCCCCACAGCCCAGAGAGGCCCAAGAGCCTCCAGGCCTACAGGACGCCAAGCCACCTGCACCAAAACAGGCAGGCACCCTGCTGTAGGACTCCCAGTGCAGGCCAGTCCCTGCAGCCCAGAGGGACCCGAGCCACTAGCTCACTGGCCCTGAGGCAGCTGCACCAAATTGGTAGTCTCTGCAGGATCCAAGCCAGACACTAGGGTCGAACGAGTGGACCGTGAAATCCCCTGCCACAATGACTAAACACCAAAGGAAAGATACCAGGAATACGAAATAGCAAGAAAGTACAACACCACCAATGGAAAATAGTAACTCTCAAGCCGTAGATCCTATAAAACAGGAAGTTTTATCGGATCTTGAAATGACTGCCAAGGAATTTCCAGCAACAATTCTAAGGAAACTAAATGAGATACAAGAAAACTCAGACAACAGAAGGAAATGAGAAAAAGTATACAGGACCTGAAAGAAGAAATGTACAGAGAAGTCAATGCCCTGAAAAACAACGTAGCAGAGCTTGTGAAGCTGAAGGATTCGTTCAGTGAAAAAATTTGAAAATCTGGAGGAAATAGATAAATTTCTGGACACATACAAACTACCAAAACTGAGCCAAGATGATATAGAAAATCTGAACAGACTAATAACAATAAAAGAGATCGAAGTTGTTATCAGAAGTCTCCCAACATAGAAAAGCCCAGGACTGGATGGGTTCACTGCAGAGTTCTACCAAACCTTCAAAGAGGAATTGACACCAATTCTCTACAAACTCTTCCAAAAGATTGAAACAGAGACCATTCTCCCAAACTCATTCTATGAGGCAAACATCAACCTGATACCAAAACCTGACAATGACACAACAACAACAAAAAAAAAACTACAGGCCAATATCCTTGATGAACACAGATGCAAAAATCCTCAATAAAATACTAGCTAACAGAATACAGCAACACATACATGAAAGTATGCATCATGATCAATTGGGACTCATCCCAGGGATGCAAGGTTGGTTCAACATATGTAAATCAATAAATGTGATACACCATATCAATAAAATCAGAGACAAAGACCATATGATCATCTCTATAGATGCTGAAAAAGCATTTGACAAAATTCAACATTCATTCATGTTAAAGATTCTTTACAAGTTAAATATAGATGGAAAGTATCTCAACATAATTAATGCCATATATGATAAGCCCACGGCCAATATCATCCTGAATGGGGGTTTCCCTTAAGAACAGGAACAAGAAAAGGATGCCCACTCTCTCCACTCCTATTCAACATGGTGTTGGAAATACCAGCCAGAGCAATCAGGGAAGAGAAGGAAATAAAGGGAATCTAGATTGGAAAAGAGAAAAGATGAAGTCAAAATGTCCCTGTTTGCAGATGATATGATCCTATATATTGAACAGCCGAAAGCCTCTACAAAAAAAACCTCTTGGAGTTGATAAATGATTTCTGCAAAGTTGCAGGATACAATATCAACACACAAAAATCAGTAGCATTTCTATACTCCAACAGTGAACATGCAGAAAAAGAAATCAAGAAAGCTATCCCATTTACAATAGCCACCAAAAAAATAAAATACTTAGGAATTGAGTTAACCAAATATGTTAAAAATCTCTACAATGAGAACTACAGACCACTGTTGAGAGAAATGAAAGATGACACAAGAAGATGGAAAGATATCCCACGCTCTTGGATTGGAAGAATTAACATTGTGAAAACGTCCATATTACCCAAAGTGATCTACAGATTCAATGCAATCCCCATCAGAATTCCAATGACATTTTCCTCAGAAATGGAAAAAGCTATCCAGACATTTATTTGGAATAACAAAAGACCACAAATAGCCAAAGCAATTCTGAGAGAAAAAAAATAAAGCTGGAGGCATAACACTACATGACTTTGAAGTATACTACAAAGCTATAATAACCAAAACAGCATGGTACTGGTATAAAAACAGACACATGGATCAAGGCAGTAGAATAGAGAATCCAGAAATAAACCTATACACCTACAGCCATCTGATCTTTGATGAAGGCACCAAGTCTACATAATGGGGAAGAGAATACATCTTCATCAAATGTTGCTGAGAAAACTGTATATTCATATGTAGGAGAATGAAACTAGACTTGTACTTCTCACCATATACCAAAATCAACTCAAAATGGATTAAAGAATTATACATCCTGAAACAATAAAACTTCTTAAAGAAAACATACAGGAAGGGCCAGCCCAGTGGCGCACTGCTACAGTGCGCTGCTTGGGAGTGCGGCGGCGCCCCCGCCAAGGGTTCGGATCCCACATACAGACCGGTTCCCGCTCGCTGGCTGAGCGAGGTGGGGGTGCAGCGCTGAGGGTTGCGATCCGTTGCCGGACACGAAAAAAGACAAAAAAAAAAGAAAACATACAGGAAGGGCCAGCCCAGTGGCGCACTGCTACAGTGCGCTGCTTGGGAGTGCGGCGGCGCCCCCGCCAAGGGTTCGGATCCCACATACAGACCGGTTCCCGCTCGCTGGCTGAGCGAGGTGGGGGTGCAGCGCTGAGGGTTGCGATCCCGTTGCCGGTCTCGGTCCGGTACGGGCGCGACACTGAGGGTTGCGATCCGTTGCCGGACACGAAAAAAGACAAAAAAAAAAGAAAACATACAGGAAACACTCCAGGAAGTAGGATTGGGTACAGACTTCATGAATACAACCCCAAAAGCACAGGCAACCAAGGGATAAATAAATAAATGGGATTATATCAAACTAAAAAGCTGCACAGCAAAAGAAACAACAGAATGAAAAGACAGCAAACTGTGGGAGAGAATATTTCAAAATATATGTCTGACAAAGGATTAATGTCCAGAATATATAAGGAACTCAAATAACTTTATAGCTAAAAAACAAGTAACAATTAAAAAATGGGCAAAGCAGCTGAATAGGCATTTCTCAAAGGAAGATATACAAATGTCAACAGACACATGAAGAAATGCTCAGCATCACTCAGCATTCAGGAAATGCAAATCAAAAGCACTTTCAGATACCATCTCACTCCAGTTAGGATAGCTAATATCCAAAAGACTGAGAGTGACAAATGCTGGTGAGGTTACAGAGCAAAAGGAATCTCATACATTGTTGGACTGCAAAATGGTGCAGGCTTTATGGAAAATGGTATGGAGGTTCCTCAAACAGTTACAGATAGATCTGCCATGTGAACCAGCTATTCCACTGCTGGGAATATACCCAGAGGAATGGAAATCATCATGTGAAAGGGATACCTGTACACCAGTGTTTATCGCAGCGCTGTTTACAATAGCCAAGAGTTGGAACCAGCCCAGGTGTCCATCATCTGATGAGTGGATAAGGAAACTGTGGTATATCTACACAATGGAATACTACTCTGGTATAAAAAAGAATAAAATACTACTGTTTACAGCAACGTGGATGGACTCTGACAAAATTATATTAAATGGAATGTCAGGCACAGAAAGAGAAATGCCACACGTTCTCACTTATTTGTGGAAGCTAAAAATAAATAAATGTACAAACAAACGGGGGGGGGTGCGGGGGCTCAGGGGCAGCGGGCCCTGAACCTCCCAGTAGTCCCTTTTATTCTCCCGCCATGGGATGAGCAAGAGAGGGAACTGGTAGGATTACTCCTGCCACCCTAGTGGCCAGGAGAGCCCGGGAGGAAGGTGAGTATGCTGCCCGCCTGTTCAGCCCACAGAGAGACACTCAGACGCGGCAGGAGTTCCGTCAAGCAGTTCTGTTTATTTACACACAAGCACCTACTTTTATAAGCATATGGCAAGGGGATTTCCTAACTTGAACATATCATCTTAAAGGTCATGTGAGCATGCATCTTGCTCTAAAGCTTTGCTATTGCAATCATGTGGTGAGCACAAGCGTGGAAATATCTTTTATCCAATAATTTTAAACTATGTCTTTCCTTGGCCACTCCCCAGCGGCTTCTGTCAGGCGCCATCTTTATCTCTCCTGTCCAGGCGAATGTTTTCAACAGATTACATACATGTATGTGGGTGGGGTCATGGCTAGTTCTCTGCCCCTGGAGGAGGTGTGTGGCCTCACCAACCCCAATGGGGGTGGGGTGGGGGGGTGGGGAAGAAAACACACCAATCACAACAATTCCTTGAAGTTGTTAAGATAAGTGAACAGATATGATGTTGATGGAGGGGAAGATGGGAGAGGGAGGGGAGAAAGAGGAATTGGTAAAGGGACATGAAAATCAACTACATTGTATATTGATAAAATAAAAATAAAAAAATAGGGCCGGCCCGGTGGCTCACTGCGACAGTGCGCCGCTTGGGAGCGTGGCGGCGCTCCCGCCGAGGGTTCAGATCCCACATACAGACCGGCCGCTCACTGGCTGAGCGAGGTGCGGGAGCAACACCGAGGGTTGCGATCCAGTTGCCAGTCCCGGTCCGGTACGGGTGCGACACTGAGGGTTGCGATCTGTTGCCGGTCACGAAAAATGACAAAAAGGAAAAAAAATAATAAAAATAAAAAATAAAAAAATAAATTGGTTATATGCTAGTGATCCTTTAACATCATTATGTTCTGCCATTTGTCACCCATGTGATGCATTTCAGTGGTGGAGTTTGGATCTAGAATACAGCATTTGGATACTGGAAGAAGGTAGATATGACAAACGCAGGCAGCTCCTGCCTGTGTCGTTGGGGCTCGTGCCTTACAGAGTAACAGTGGTTACTGGCCGTCTTCCTTGTCTTCCTGCTGCCTTGGCAGCAGGGCCCTCTTCCTTCCTCACTTGTTTTGCTACACCCACCCCAGCCCTTCTTTCACTCTCCTGCCACCTCAGTACAGGTGACAGCCCTGGCAAGATAGGCTGGCAGCTGAGGAGAACAGACAGAAAATGGATCCTACTGGAGGGATGCTTCCCTTCCCTCTGTCTGTTCCTCGAGGTCTGAGAATCCCTGTCCTCATCCCAGTGGCTGTCATTAGCACCTTAGAGATGAGGCTGCCTCAGGTGTGTCCTTGACGTCCAGGCTGGAGTCTGAATGCTGTAGAGGGTTTGCATCTCTGTGCTGTCAGCTTGAGAACCCAGCCCACCATGCTGCCTTTATGATTTCATACGGGAACTGAACCATCCCCATAAGTGTGTTCTGTCAAAGAGTGAGTTCCAGGTTTTGAAAAGCTCAGTTTCAAAAGATTTTTGGAACGTGGGATTGGGGAGGGGGTGGCCCTGCAGCCCACCCCCACCATTACATTCAGCCCACCGGTGCGCCGNCTGTCCTCATCCCAGTGGCTGTCATTAGCACCTTAGAGATGAGGCTGCCTCAGGTGTGTCCCTGACGTCCAGGCTGGAGTCTGAATGCTGTAGAGGGTTTGCATCTCTGTGCTGTCAGCTTGAGAACCCAGCCCACCATGCTGCTTTTATGATTTCATACGGGAACTGAACCATCCCCATAAGTGTGTTCTGTCAAAGAGTGAGTTCCAGGTTTTGAAAAGCTCAGTTTCCAAAGATTTTTGGAACGTGGGATTGGGGAGGGGGTGGCCCTGCAGCCCACCCCCACCATTACATTCAGCCCACCGGTGCGCCGCACGATCTCTTCTGTCCCAGCGTCCTGAGTTGCTATGGGCTGGATTAACTAATAGGTCAGTGGTTCTTTTTTCACAGGAGAAAAATAAAGCTGGAGATGTAAAAACAGCTGGTGAGAAAACAGCTACAGACAAGAAGCGAGAAAGGAGGAAAAAGAAACATCAAAAGCGTATGAAAATAAAACAGAAGGAGAAGCAGAGAAAACTGCTGGAAAAGAGCAACCCAGATCAAGCAGGGAAACACAGCAAAGCAGCAGCTTCGGAGAAGTTAAAAGAGCTGACTAAAACAGGCAAGGTGTCCTTGCTAAAGGTAAGGACGAGGGAAGGAAGGCTGCTGAAGGGGAATTCCGTGGGAAAGTGGATGGCAGGGCTTAGGCACTGTTGGCTGATGCAGCCCCGGTAGGGTCGAGGTGCACGCAGCCAACCGTCTAGAACTGCAGCGTGAGTTGCACTCGGTTTTTCATGTGAGGACGTCACTGTAACCTGGGTTCTGGCAGCAGTTTTTCTTCTACCCCTTCTCCTTTAAATTATAGAAACATTGTAGCAGCTTAGAACACCTGCATGCTAACTGATTTGGTTTTTGTAAAGCTAGTTCTTTTTCATATTTATACTTTTATATATTGTTGTAATCATACTGTACTATTTTTGGCTTTTTTCACTTTCAAGCCCATTTTATACCATGAGCATGTATTGTTTTTTATTGCAGGACAAAGGTAAAGACAAGGCCTTAAAGTCGTCTCGAGCATTCTTTTCTAAATTACAAGATCAAGTAAAAATGCAAATCAACGATGTAAAGAGAACAGAAAAGAAAAAGAAGAAAAGACAGGATATTTCTATTCACAAATTAAAGCTGTAATATATTTTGAATATAATCCAAATATTAATATATAAGCTTACATTTTCTCATTGTTCTGTTTTACAATAAAATTTTTAAGAACTTTTAATTGCATCAGTAATAGATACTTGAGAATTCCGTGGTGTGTGACTACAGACTCTAAGCTGTGTCTGCGAAGCCCTTCAGTCTTTCCTGGTTGTAACTCACACCAGCTGGTGAGCAAGAGCTGGCCTGCAGGCTGAGAAGGGCAAAGCCAGCCACTCTTCTTGCCACTAGTGGTCTGCAGCTGAGGTCCCCACCCTTCTTGAATTTCCAAGCATATGCCTTATGTATTTCCTTTTAGGAAAATGATCTCATGTCACCTGAGCAAAGGCTTACTGTATCATCAGATGCAGAGAGGACAGGTCTGATCTATAAGTGACAGAAGATCAGTTTAGCTGGGAAGGTAGATCAGCAGTCTACAGAGTCTTCTTTGACCACCAGGTGCTCATTGCTTCAATTTTCTCATGCAGGGAAAATTTCCTTTTCTCTGACAGGATCTATTATGATGTGATAGAAACACATTAAGCCTTATTACCAATGGGTAGAGGATGAGAACAAGACTTAACCAAAGTGACAGGAAAAGCCCTCTGGGTTTTCATCAACAGGGACCAGTGGTCAGGAAGAGCCTGTGCTCTGCGTTCTTGTTTATTAATGAAGAAGATGGCTGTGGCCGGTAGAACTAGGTGCACGGGGCTGGATTAAGCACCGGTTGTTTTAGTCTGTTTTAGTCCATTTGTGCTGCTATAAAAAAATACCTGAGATTGGGTAATTCTAAACAGAGTTTATTACTTACAGTTCTGAAGGCTGGGAAGTCCACAATCACGATATTAGCAAATTTGGTGTCTGGGGAGGGCTGCTGTCTGGTTCAAGATGGCACCTTGTTGCAGGTATGTTTCAGTGGGGAGACAGAAAATAAACAGAATAATTACAGCGTGTAAAAAGTGGTTTGTAATTGAGGGGTGGGCAGGAGCAGTTCTACTTTATAGGCAGAGTGTCGGAGAGGGTGTCCCTAGAGAGGTGNCTGTCCTCATCCCAGTGGCTGTCATTAGCACCTTAGAGATGAGGCTGCCTCAGGTGTGTCCCTGACGTCCAGGCTGGAGTCTGAATGCTGTAGAGGGTTTGCATCTCTGTGCTGTCAGCTTGAGAACCCAGCCCACCATGCTGCTTTTATGATTTCATACGGGAACTGAACCATCCCCATAAGTGTGTTCTGTCAAAGAGTGAGTTCCAGGTTTTGAAAAGCTCAGTTTCCAAAGATTTTTGGAACGTGGGATTGGGGAGGGGGTGGCCCTGCAGCCCACCCCCACCATTACATTCAGCCCACCGGTGCGCCGCACGATCTCTTCTGTCCCAGCGTCCTGAGTTGCTATGGGCTGGATTAACTAATAGGTCAGTGGTTCTTTTTTCACAGGAGAAAAATAAAGCTGGAGATGTAAAAACAGCTGGTGAGAAAACAGCTACAGACAAGAAGCGAGAAAGGAGGAAAAAGAAACATCAAAAGCGTATGAAAATAAAACAGAAGGAGAAGCAGAGAAAACTGCTGGAAAAGAGCAACCCAGATCAAGCAGGGAAACACAGCAAAGCAGCAGCTTCGGAGAAGTTAAAAGAGCTGACTAAAACAGGCAAGGTGTCCTTGCTAAAGGTAAGGACGAGGGAAGGAAGGCTGCTGAAGGGGAATTCCGTGGGAAAGTGGATGGCAGGGCTTAGGCACTGTTGGCTGATGCAGCCCCGGTAGGGTCGAGGTGCACGCAGCCAACCGTCTAGAACTGCAGCGTGAGTTGCACTCGGTTTTTCATGTGAGGACGTCACTGTAACCTGGGTTCTGGCAGCAGTTTTTCTTCTACCCCTTCTCCTTTAAATTATAGAAACATTGTAGCAGCTTAGAACACCTGCATGCTAACTGATTTGGTTTTTGTAAAGCTAGTTCTTTTTCATATTTATACTTTTATATATTGTTGTAATCATACTGTACTATTTTTGGCTTTTTTCACTTTCAAGCCCATTTTATACCATGAGCATGTATTGTTTTTTATTGCAGGACAAAGGTAAAGACAAGGCCTTAAAGTCGTCTCGAGCATTCTTTTCTAAATTACAAGATCAAGTAAAAATGCAAATCAACGATGTAAAGAGAACAGAAAAGAAAAAGAAGAAAAGACAGGATATTTCTATTCACAAATTAAAGCTGTAATATATTTTGAATATAATCCAAATATTAATATATAAGCTTACATTTTCTCATTGTTCTGTTTTACAATAAAATTTTTAAGAACTTTTAATTGCATCAGTAATAGATACTTGAGAATTCCGTGGTGTGTGACTACAGACTCTAAGCTGTGTCTGCGAAGCCCTTCAGTCTTTCCTGGTTGTAACTCACACCAGCTGGTGAGCAAGAGCTGGCCTGCAGGCTGAGAAGGGCAAAGCCAGCCACTCTTCTTGCCACTAGTGGTCTGCAGCTGAGGTCCCCACCCTTCTTGAATTTCCAAGCATATGCCTTATGTATTTCCTTTTAGGAAAATGATCTCATGTCACCTGAGCAAAGGCTTACTGTATCATCAGATGCAGAGAGGACAGGTCTGATCTATAAGTGACAGAAGATCAGTTTAGCTGGGAAGGTAGATCAGCAGTCTACAGAGTCTTCTTTGACCACCAGGTGCTCATTGCTTCAATTTTCTCATGCAGGGGTTGATGGTGAAGGAGAAGGGGACAAGCCCAGGACAGACCCTTGGAAAGCCGGCGGGGCTGGGGTGCGAGCGCAGAGGGAGGACGGAGGAGGGCAGGGGCGAGGCCGAGCGGCTTCTCCTGATCCCGCCCTGTCCTGGGCAGGAGTCGCAGCGCAGGCTGCGTGGTGGGGGCTGCGGGAGGCAGGGGAGGGGGAGCGGTCCGGCACAGGGGGGACAGACCTCTCCTTGCGCTGAGCGGCAGGAGCACGTGCCTGTTCTCAGCCTGGGGTCTGCGGTGAGGTGACAGCAGTCAGCCTGGTCCTGTGACTGCCTGCAGGAGATCAGGGCCCTGGGGGCAGCCAAGAGCAGGCGTCCGTGTGCGCACGTGCTGGGGTTGCTGGGCCGGGGAGAGGCTGCGGGTACAGGAGGCGCCCGCCTGGGGCTGGAGGTGACTCACTCGGTGGGGGTGGGGAGTGTGAGGGGCTGGAGCAGTGGCCTTGGCAGCCCCGTATCTGGGGCGGGGGCAGTGGCGAGAAGGTTCTGAGTGGCCTGGGCACGTGGTTGGCAGAAGAGGGGCGGAGAAAGGGGGTAATCGGAGGGGGTCTGGGAACTGAGGGAGTGCTCTGCCCTCACAGATGTCAAAGCCGTGGTGATGGGAGGTGGAGCAAGGATGAGGTGACGGTTTCGGAAGGTGACAGAAGCCGCTGGCCGGTGCAGGGAGATCAGCAGATGCCCTCAAGGAGAGACGTGCGCTTCCCAGGAACGCAGGGTGTTGGGAAAATAGAATAGTTTGGTCAGGGCCCTCACCTCGGGTCCAGTTGCGCGTGGATTTAGCACATCATTTGTGAGCAAAGTGTGTGTGTGTGTGTGTGTGTGTGTGTGTGTGTATGTGTGTGTAGTTAGTGCGCATGCACGCCAATGTATCTTTAATTTTGTTACTATTCCTGTGTTCTTCAGAGAGGTGGAGGGAAGGGGACGGGGGAGGGCGGGGAGGGGGGAGAGAGAGAGGGAGAGAGAGAGGGAGGGAGAGAGGGAGGGAGGGAGAAAGAGAGAGGGAGAGGGAGGGGGAGGGAGGGAGAGAGAGAGAGAAGAGTTTGGTGAAGCAGGTGGGCAGGCGTGGCCTCCAGCGTCCGCCCTGTGCAGCCATGCTTTCCAACCTTTGGCTCCAAGGACCTATTGGACGGTTACCTAGCTCATAGACCGCAGGTCTGGGGACCCAGCCTGGTGTATGAAGGGTTTGTGACCCAGTCTGTGAACAGGCTTGAGGGGTCTGTGGGCTCCAGACCAAGCCTTAGCTCGACAGTTTGCCCAGTTGGTGCAGGATTACCAGCAGGTAAAAGAGCCCGACAATTAGCGTAGTCATCGTAGAGTAGTTTCACACAGGGCTTCCCAGGAATGGGGGCTTCCAAAGCGGAAGGAGGATGATTTGGGACTCTGGAGCAGCAGGGGGCAGAAAGGACGGCTGCTCCCTCTGCAGTGGCAGCCGGGGTGGGAGGGCTGCAAGAAGGGCGGCTGCGGGGGGCTGCGCTCAGCCAGGGTTAGAGAAGGCAGGATGCAGAGAGCGGGGCGAGGGGGGGGCGCTGGGAGAGGATGCTTTCCCCGCTCAGCAGTGCCAGGCAGCAGCGGGGAAGGCTTTGGGAAGCTGGTGGTAGGTTTGTGTCAGGGGAGGGGTGGGCACTGCCCGCATGAGTCCAGGTGGTGATCGGGGCTGGCTTGGTGGTGGTGAAGAGAGACAGGAGGTGGGGCACAATGGGGTTGGTTTTAGATGGTCTCTTTGAGGTGAGACTCGGATCAAGCTGTGATGCTGGGTGCTGGGGGCTTCTCCTGACCACCTGCCTGCTGGGGTGGGGAGAGTGCTCCTGCCAGGCTGTACTAGCCTGTAGGCTGTTCTCTGTGCACTGTCTTTTCTTAGTGACCTTCAAATTGTCCAGTAGCATACCGTGAAAGAATGAGACCGAAGAATTTGTGAACAAATTTTTACAATTGGAGATAATTTCTTTTGTTTTTATTTTACAGTGTTTGTATGTACTGATATTGCCTGCTTTCTTGTAGATATAAGTCCAAAATACAGTGAATATGTACTCAGTGTTACAGCATCCAGCATCCGTTGGTCAAATGTTTTTGTTTTTGGTATACGGAAGCAATGAGGGGCTGGACAATTAGCCCAGTTGGTTAGAGCTCAGTGTGATAACACCAAGGTCAAGGGTTCAGATCCCTGTAAAGACCAGCCTCTAAAAAGACAAAACAAAACAAAAGCAGCAGCAGCAATGAGAAGACGTCTTTCTTCAGCTAAGTGGTGTCAACATTTCAGCATGGCTATCTCCCAGTGTTCCTGAAGTCATTTTTGAAATATCCCAAGTAATCCTCTTTGCTTGGGCAGTACCCCTCTGGCTACCTCTGACTATAAGTTGTTAAACTATCAAAGTCTACATCTTACTCCAATTCTGAAGTCAGTTACATGTTTACATGGTTGCTGCCAGATGGTTGAATGAATAAATGATGAACAAGTGCTAGAAATTGAGAGTGATGAGCTGATCACTGTCAGGCTTATATAATGGAACACGTTATGTAGTAATACAGTGTCAATGTGTTTGTCTTTCTAGTCGGATGGCCTGGCCTGTAACAGTTTTCTGGGCTACTCCAGTGGGTTAGTTATGGTATGTTCCTGCTAGATTAAAATTTAAAGAACCCTCATATTTTCAAAAACACACTTTTACTGTTTAGGATTAGATCTCGAGGTGGGATGTGGTGATTTTTGTGGAAACACTCATTCATGTGTGAAAATTGGATAGCATTTTCCCACAGGTATGCAGCGGCCGTGCCCTGGCTGAGTGACATTTCCACTGCAATGGCCAGTGGGAACTGGGAAGAAGCTAAGGAGCTCTCTCAATGTGCAAAAAGGGACTGGAACAAACTGAAAAACCACCCTTCTCCAAGGTGAGATTTTTTTCTTAGATACCTGCCAAAATTAACTTATTTACCAAGTTACTCCAACCGTTTATGGCAATTTTCTTCATGAGGAACATACTACATTTGCTCTGTGGTCAAACTAGCTGTGGAACAGAATTTTTTACTCTCTTTACATAGAGTCAAGTGCTGTGTGCAATAGAAGGAAATGTCTGCAAGTTTAGAGTGAGTGTTTTGGAACTCGGATTCCTGTACAGCAGACCTTGAAATGAGCAGTGCCCGGCTTTCAGCTTGCTGTCTGCTGGGCTGGCTTCCCTGAGCCCTGGTGAGCTGAATTTAATGCAGGGAGACACAGCAGCAGGACAGATGTGGGAAGCATACTGGGCGTGTCCTTCTGATGGAAACTCAGTAGGAGTTACTCTGGAAAAGACAACCCAAGCGACATCACTTGAACAGTTCCAAGTACGTGGCACATGATCTCTTACTGTTCTGTGTGACGAATGCTAAACAACTTTAGTATTTGTTAAGAAATTCTTTTCCTTTGTTATTACATAGTGATGAGAAAAAAATTAGTGTTATCAAATGCCTCTTTCAAGAAAAACATTGAGGTCATATTTTTTATAAAGAAATATATTGACTTAAAATCATAGCCAGGAAATTAGATTATTGGAGAGCAGAGGTTGATAAGCTTCTTTGGCCCAGGGCCAATTAATCTTTATTTAGGCTTTGCAGGCCACATGGTCTCTGTGGCAGCAACGTCCCTCTGTCCTTGTTAGTGCACATGCAGCCACGGGCAGCACGTAAATGAATGAGCTTGACTGTGCTCCAGTAAACCTTGTTTATGGACACTGAAATTTGAGTTTCATGTAATTTTCACATCCTGCAGAGTAGTAGTCTCCTTTTGGTTTATTTTAACCACTTAAAAGTGTAAAAAGCATTCTTAGTTTGCAGGATTTAGGGAATCAGGCAGTGGGCCCTGGTGTGCTGTGGGCCAGAGTCTACTGACCTGGTTGGAGCATTACCAGTTGTTGTCATCCCACTTCACTGGGTGACCCGAGACATGGTGGCTGATGGGGAGAGTATAGGTTTGTGGTATAGGAAACTGTCCACAACAGAAATTATTTAGAATATATATTTTTGAAAGCTAGGAGTTCAGTCTGCTTTGTCATTTCTTACTTACAATTGTCTTACAACAAATAACCAGATAATTAAACTATTGTTGTATATCTTCGTTTTAGATACCACGAGCAATTACCACTGTTTCTGCGGAGTTTCACTGTTGGGTGGATTTATACAACGATTCTGTCTTGGAATGTTGAAATATCACAGAGACTTCACCTGCTTGAGATTAGAGCACATGGCCCTGCCTGCCTTGTAGGATGTGGCTGCAGCAAACCTGTGAGGGAAACCCCTGGTGTCCCAGCGTTCCCTGCATATTGGCTCAGCACACAGTGATATATGGAAGGGTGTCTAGTGTAGGCGACCTGCTGGCTCTCAGGTTAGTGGAGAGAAGATGGCTGAAGGTGAACAGCTGTTTTGCTTGCTCATAAGTTGGTGAGTCTCTACCAGGGTGGCCTGAGGGTCACGATAGAGCCCTGTGGGGAGAGCCGCCCAGGTCTCTGCAGCCTGAGCCCAAGTCTCTTTCAGAACTAGGTGGGAGACTAGGGAGTGCCCCCAAAATTTCTAAGGTGGAAGTCTCATATCTCCTTATGCTTCGCTGCCAGCTGTCATGGGTTGCCTGGAAGTAATTTATAATCAGAAATTATAAATATGGTCATATCCTCATTTAAACATTGTGAAGTTGCTAGAGTTCACTTTTGTCGTGTTTGATATTTCCATATTGAAAAATGTTATTTTACAGTGAGGATATGCTAAAGTTGGGTTCTTGGCCTGGGGTCCATGAATCCCAGGAGGACCTGTGGGTGGGCTTTGGGGAATCTGAACCCTAACATTGTGAGCGTATGGGGGTTTATGCATTTTTCTGGGGTAGATCATTACATGTTTCTAAGAAACCCAGGAACCACAAAAGATTAACATGAATGACTGAGCAGTATGTACATGCACAAAAGATTAACATGAATGACTCCACAAAAGATTAACATGAATGACTGAGCAGTATGTACATGAATCTAGAGGGCTTCCTGTTGGGTGTTCGAATGAGGATACCCCTCATTACTGTCCTGCCTGCCCCAAATCACTCTTGCAGGTCCTGTGACCTGCTGGGTTCCCAGAAGCATGGGGGCTCGTCAGCCCTGAGTAGTGCTCGGCTGCCTGGGGCTTGATCTTGTGTGACTGTGCAGTGGCTGACTTGGTTTGAAGAGGATGTCATGCAGTCCTCACAGGCCTCCATAAGCTCAGCACCAATACGCAGAGAACCCAGGTGACAAGTAGGGATACATCAGAGAACTCACTCCCACTCCACAGAGCATCTCAGAGTCCCTGCCCTGGCAGTCCAGGGTCCTCGACCTTATTTTAGAGTGGAAAGATTGTTACAAATATACTTTACCAATCCTTTTGGCTTCTAAATATAATTACAGTTGATTCTCTGTGTGTGTGAATCTAATGAGCTTTCCTTGTTATTGTTGCAATAGGAAGCCATCAAGGAACTGGAAAGCCTTTTGTCTCAGAGAATTTATTGTCCTGACAACAGAATCCGACGGTGGGATCGACTGGCTCTTAACTTACACCAGCACTTGAAGCGCCTGGAACTGGTACTCAGTAATGAGACATACCTGGAACTCTTTTCATGTTTAAATGAATTTTTAAAATATGGCAATCTTTTAAATGCCTTAAAAATCTAAATGTAATTAGAACATTTATTTCTTCTGTTAA